TGCACATGTAGAGTCTCTCTCTCATGTATGCAAAGTTCCCAAACATAAGAATTTATTAAATTTGGTTATTCTCTTGCTTACCTCTCATGCTTGTTTGATTATTAAACCAGCCAAAAGAAACTTGAGGGTAGAGGAATGTTTCCTTCTCCCCCACAATTGGAAATCCTATAACTCAATTAGAAGAAGTCAATAAGTCAAATACATAACGTGCCTTTATATTTTCTTGAGTGCCTTTCAAAGAGCAGACGTTTCTTTTGTGTATGTGTGACTTGTCAGATATCTTTGCTTATATCAATGTACCTAAAATCTTGTATTTAGTCTTCTAGAAGGTATATAATTTTATCATTTAAATTTAGATCTATGAACAATTTAAAATTAATTTTTATATTTTATGTGAGATAATACTTGATATTCATTTTTCCATACAAATAGCAATTTGTTCTAGTGAGTGTTGAAAACACTTACCTTGGCATGGCTCTGAATTCTCAGACCATATATTATGGGTCTATTTCTGGGCCCTTTATCCACTTCTATGCTTATGTCCAAAACATACTACCAGTATCTTGAGTACTGGAACTTCATTGCACATTTTGAAATTGAATATTGACATTTTTCAACTTCTTTTATTTCTACAAGTTTTTATTTCGAGACTTCAATTGTTTTCATTACGATTTTACACATACATTTTAGTATCAGTTTGTTAGTCTCCACAAATCTTCTGCTTTAAGGAGATAGATGCTACTGACATCTTTAAAATATTTTATTTTAGACTAGGAGCCCAGCACGTGGTTCGAAATCCCGCGGTGAGGCCTGGCCCACCCACCTGCAGCCCTGCTTTGACACCCGAACCTGTCCAGGCGACTTCAATTGTTTTCATTATGATTTTACACCTGCAGCCCTGCTTTGACACCCGAACCTGTCCAGGCAGAGCTCCAGCACACCTGGCCCAAACTCTCTGGCCTTCTCTGGCCACTTCAAGCCCTGCCCTCAGTCCCTCTAGTGGCCTAAGGCTAGTCCCGCCTCCTCTGGGTGCCTCCCCGCTTCCGCCCAGTCTCCGGAGCAATGCGGTGGCTCCGCCCCATCATGGTGCCGGAGGAGAGTATGGAAGCCTCCCGCCTGTTGCGCTGTGCTCCTTCCCCTGGCAGGTGGGCCACGTGGCACTCAGAGTGCGAGCGGTGGGTGGCGAAGGACTGGTGAGGGGGGCCGCTATGGGCTCTCACCCCTGCCCTCCTGGGCATGGGATGGTCCCACCTCCTCCAGGCACCTCCCAGCTTCTGCCCCGTCTCCAGAGCTATGCCCCAGCTAATATGCTAATGACCTGGTCATTACCATTACGGGTATCGACCATTAGCATATTAGCTCTTTATTAGTATAGATAATAACTTCTAGTTATTATCATGATAGCTGCATGTCGGGCCTCTCTCCACTGAAACAACCATAACTACATGTCCCATATAAGAAAAATAAGTTAAAGTCTGAAAAATGCCTTATGGTTATAAACCAAATGAAGAAATGTTTATTCAGGAAAATCCACTACTAGTAAATTTGGATGAAATTAGCCATTGACTATACCCTTTGTGCCAAGGTCTGTTCCCTTCCTTCATCATGCTGAAGGTTAAACCTCTACTCGGAGTCAGTGCAGGCAGAAAGAAAGGCTTGCTATCCATCCAGGTCTCACTCTATGGTGACACTATCTCCATAAGAGAGCCAAGCCACCAAAATTTCTCATCAACCTCTAGTTTTAAGTTTCAGAACTTCTATTCCAGGTAAGAATAGTCAAGAGCTCTAGGGCTCACTTTTTCCACCCAGCCACCTGTTAAGATTGCCGAAGGAGGAGTACACAAGGCCAAAGGGGGTAAAGAATTATGAATTTATTAGGTCATCTGGAAAACAAAATGGGCTGAACCCCCAAATGGTGCCAGAACCCAGGGATGGGGAGTCAGAGATTTTAAAGGACTCGGTGTGCTTTTTCTGGGTGGAGAATTCTCTGGGTGGGTCTGGGTCCTAGAAATCTGGAGGGGAAGGACAATGGTCTTAGCAAGTGGAATGTGGTCTAAGCCAAAGGGAATGTAGGTTGTGAATTGGTCTAAAGGTCAGTTTCCAGTGGAGGGGTGTTGATTCAATTATTTGATCAGACCTAACATCCCCACTTTTGAAGTGGAAGCTCTAATGCAGGTTTTATAAATCATCAATAAAGAAGTGCCAATTGTCCTCTCACCTCACCTCAGGGTAGAAGTTTCATACCAGGGTAGAAAAGCCAAGAAGATCAGAGCTAACCCCTATTCTGTCCTCTTCATATAAAGCAAGAAATGTCACTATAAGACAGTGATGGTGAACCTTTTGAGCTCGGCGTGTCAGCATTTTGAAAAACCCTAACTTAACTCTGGTGCCGTGTCACATATAGAAATTTTTTGATATTTGCAACCATAGTAAAACAAATATTTATATTTTTCATATTTATTTTATATAGTTAAATGCCATTTTAAAAAATCAACCAAAAAATGAGTTTGCGTGTCACCTCTGACATGCGTGTCATAGGTTCGCCATCACTGCTATAAGACAAGTAAGCCATGATTCTCATAGATGGTTGTTATTATGTTGAGGTACTTTTCTTCTGTACTCATTTTATTGAGTGTTTTAATCATAGATGGATATTGTATCTTGACAATACTAAGTCTTTCAATCCTTGAATACAAGATTTCTTTCCATGTATTTGTGTTTTCATTAATTTTTTCATAAATGTTTTGTAGTTTTCATTGTACACATCTTTCACCTACTTGGTTAAATTTATTCCTAAATATATTATTGTATTTGATGCTATTATAAAATGGATTTTTCCTTATTTGCATTGCTGGTATATACACACTTTATTTTTGAATGTTAAATTTGTATACTTATTATTTCTGATAAAGAAATAAAAGGCATCAAAATAGGAAAAGAAGAAGAAAATGAGATGCTCTTAAATGTAGAAAACTCTAAAGACACTATAGCATAGCCTAACGTTTAAGGCTAATTAGTATCACTATTTACATCTGAGCTATCTCAGGTCTCCACTGAAATTTTCACATACCCACAAAATCTCTCCTCTTTCATCAGAACTTGATTGTTTCTGTCCTGTGTGGTGTCTGGGAATAGATTATATAGCATATAGCCCTTTGGTAGTTGTCTTTCCACAGCAGATGTTTTTTTTACTACCCTTTTAAAACTCACTTTATGCATGTGTGGTTTAGTAGTCCAATATATAGTTTGCAAAAATTAAAGAGTATTTTGCATTAAGGTAATTTATTTTCTAGTTTATATTATAGAATGTAAAATCCCAGAACAAATCAGATGTGTAAAAATGTAGCATATTTTAATTTTCTTTAAATTCTTAAAGATATTCCAATTAATTCAGTTGTATGGAGTATTTAATCCTAAAAAATAAAAGTACAATTCAACTATACCTTAAAGAATATACCCACCTTCAAATCATAGAGAATGATAATCCCTATTGGATTAAATTGATTTTGCTCTGACATTATAAACTGACAAGCGGTTCAAAGGCGTATGAATAAGCTATATCACCATAGAGTGATCAAAGTTTGTGGGTGTCTTCATATTCCTATGTACTTTTCTATTTTAATGATCAATGCAATCCATGGTGTAGTGACAAACACAACTTGAAAAGGACTGATATCAGAAGCTCTCTTCCTCTTCTGCCATTAGACTTGGAGCGGGCACAGGAGCTATCAGTGATCCATCTGTGTTTATGACAGTCAAATATTGCATCACAGTTACATTATTTTGGGTTCAATTTCTTATGCATTATCCAATATACAGCAGGTGTGGACAACACTGAACATAAGACATCCACATCTCTGTGGATTAAATAGAATCTCTTTAAAATCAGTTTAGTCTATTAGTGAATCTAATTAGCAGTCTTTTAGAGATCCACACCTTGATGTAATTTGTATATAAAGGATGCCTATGTGCCTTCCCAAAGTAAGAATTTTGAGAAAAGAAACTCGTGTTGTTCACGCTCTTTGTCCAGTTCCTTGCTAAATTGATGTGATACCTTGTCATCCTTGCTTCTCTAAACTTTAATCTCTGTCCTAATTGAATCTGCTGGTGATAGTGGTTCCAAACACCTTCTGTATATGCACCAGCATCTGCTGCTCTCCCAGCCAGAGTTCTTCATGATGAGATTCACTTTCTGTGGCATCCATTACTTGACCCCGGGCTTGTTCATCTGCCCTTATAGCTTCTCTCATACCCCCCTGGGGGCATTGCTCTCATGCACAACAACAATACCATTTCCATGTGAATTTCTCTACACTAGTGCCATTCTATTTCCCTTAGGATGTTAAGGGAAAAGAAGCACCAGCAGCCAAACTTACTAGTATTTGGATGTTTCAAAAAATGTCCCTTTTCCTGCCTCCTTCTACTTTCATCTTTCCTTTGTTCTCATATCACCTGAAAAAGTGGCTCACTGATTTCTTATGAGATGCTACACTGCTTATTTCATAACCTAGGTTTTTCCTACCTTTTGTATATTATGAAACTCTGTGATTCGAATTGACCAAGTGCATCTCTGGTTAGGTGAAAGGAGATATTGGGGTTTAGAAAATCAATTTTTCTTGGTTTCAGTTATCAGTTGTGGTATAACCTAAAATTTACTAGGTTAAAAACAAGAACCATTTGTTACTTGTGAATGATGCTGTAGGTTAATTGGGCACAGCTGGGCAGTTCTTCTGCTTCATGGGAAGTCTAATGAGGCTGCAATCATCTGAAGGTTCAAATGTGCTGGAATGTTGAAAATGACTTCTGCACGTGGATGGCTGGTGATGCTAGCTATTGGCTTGGAACTGAGAGCAGCTGACCAGAATCTTTGTTCTCCCTGTGGTCTCTCCATGCAGTTGCTGATTTCTGAAGCTCCCGCCTCAGAGGTTAAGCAGTATCACTTTTACCAAATTCCATTAGTCAAAGGAAATCACAGGGCCAGCCCAGGTTCGAGGGGAGTGAAAATATATTCTACCTCTTGATGCGAGAAATGGCAAATAATTTGTTTCCATCCTTAATTCCCAAGTCCTCCTTAATATAACAAAATAACAAAGACTACTGAATCACTGGAGACCATCCCCAAATCTAATCTGATTTGTCAACACTCAGCACTAGTTTTCTTGTTCTAATCTTTTTTGAGAACTAAGTTTTTTATTTGGTGTGTTTGCATCAAGATTTAAGAGTAATAAACATATCTGTTTCATCTGCAAACATATTATACCATCAGAAGTAATTTAATTAAAATCAGGACTACACTTTTGAGATCGGGAATCTAACACTGTTAAAATTAAATTAGAAGAGATATAGCTATTCTGGGAATCTCTAAAACTGGTAATTTCCTATCATCATAGCAGATTGTTTGTGATGAAGTCCCACTGACAATCATGCTAATAAGTTGGGATGTTCCTACTAATCTCATACTCAATGGGAAATTGTGTAAGCAAGAAGAGCAACCTGTTTCCCATCTGTCCTTGGGAAGCATTCAGGGAAGGTCTCTTTTATAAGGAAGTATTAATCACCAAAAGTACAGAAGTGGAAAAGGAAAATAATTTAATTTCACAATCATAATTGAGAATATTTCCTGATATTGAATTATTGGAGTGATAAAGGATTACTAAATAAAAAATAACTAGGATATATGAGTGATTGTTAATTAATATAGGTATTCTAGGTCATATATCTCTTGAGTATAGGGGTAATGGCCACTATTGTGCTTTTATTGATGCAATTACTCTCAAAATTACATACTATATCACAGTTATACTTACACTAATTCAGAATTACATGAGTGTTAATATATTTAGAAAATTCTTAACAATATATTATGCTTTTCTAATATATTCACAATAATTTCTTAGTCTTCTATTTATTCTATTAGAGGCCCAGTGCACAAAATTCATGCAGGGTAGGGTGGGGTACAGGGGCGGTCCTCAGCCCAGCCTGCACCCTCTCGCAATCTGGGATCCCTCGGGTAGGGTCCCTAGGCCTGGCCAGCAATCAGGGCCTATCAGGGCTTTCCTTCCCCTCGCTGCTGGCTGTCCCACCCCTGCCGCTGCCACTGCTTGCCTTCTGTGCGGCGCTGCCCCTCCTCCCCCCTGCCACCAGTTGCCTCCTTCTGTGGGCTACAGGCATGGGGTGTGATTGTTTGGCTGGCCTGGGCCTCCCTCTGTGGGGCGATCAATTGTGGGGTTATGCGATCAATTGCCATGCACAGTGAGGCCCTGCCCACCCTGCCAGGGCTCTGTGATTGATCGCTATGCAGAGGGAGGCCCTGCCCACCTAGCTGGGACTCTGCAATCAATCGCCAGGCAGAGGGTGGCCTGGGCCTCCCTCTGTGGGGCAATTGCAGGGCTGTGGCGAGGCTCCCCAACCCCCAACCAATTGCATCGCACCCACCTTTGCTGGCCTAGCACCAGTGGGTGTCATAGCGTGGTCGTCCAGAAGGTTGTCCGGACGGTCGTTCTGCTATTCAGTCCTTTGGTCAATTTGCATATTATGCTTTTATTATTACAGATAATTTCAAAAATGTTATGTGCATAAAATTATACAGTAGATATCTTTTTAGGATTTACTTTTTAAATTTAGCATAATTCCCTGGAGAGTCATACATATTGGTGTGCATATTAACAGTTTCTTCTTTATTGATGAATAGTATTTCATTATGTGGGTGTACTACAATTTGTTTCATCATTCACCTATTGAAAGACAACAGGAAAGATTACAGTTTGGGGCTTTAATGAATAAAACCACTATGCATACTCATGCACAGGTATTTAGTGAACGTAAATGTTTATGTTTCTGGTTATAAAACCAAGTGCTGTTGCTGTGGCATGTGGTAGTTACATGCCTACTTTTTAAGAAACTGCTAGCCTGTTTTCAGCATTGGGTTTTGTATTAAATCGTTTTTAAAAAAAATTGATGTGGTAACTTATTTTTTTATGTCAACCATTGACTTTGTAGATAAATGTAATAAGTATTCTTGAAGATCTTTTAACTTATTAAATAGCTTTGTCACTGCATATTTTAGTGTATAAAATAATTTGTTAAGAAATATTAAATAATGATGCCATATAATAAAGTTTTTGTACACTAAGCAAAATGGGTTCTTGAAATTTTATAACTATTATTATTTACTCATTTTAATGACTTCAATTAAAAAAAACAATGAAAAAATCCCTGCAATAATCAAGTTGACCTTAACAGGTGAATTAAAGCAAAATAATTTAGAAAGATGCAAAAAGTAATTGTATGTTAATAATATATTAAAGCCTTCATTATAATTAGAATTGTTGCAAGAAAATAACTAATGCTGCACTCAGATTTTTAAGAATATTACAAGTTTTTTAAAACTAATGTCACATTAAGAAGAATATAAGTTTATGTATGAAGGCTTATACATACTAAATAAAATGCAACCAGGAAATTAGGATCAATTTTTGAATAATTATCAATTTGATTTTCTTTGTAGTTTATTTAATAATGTTTCCAGTTTTAACTGTAGGTTTTTGCAGTATATGATAAGTAATCAATGTAGTCAAGTTTATTTGAATTTAAAATGGGGAGCTATAATTAAATAAATAATAGGTAAATGATATAATTTTATATAATGGTATCATTCTTATGAAAAGTTTTAAAAGAGTATATTTCCAAGGAATATAAACTTATTTATCTGGAAATGCTTTATGTAATGCTTAGTTTTAAAATGTAATTTTAAAGAACCTGAAAATAATAAGACATACTAATATTTACCTTGGTGTTGGCCTGAGTGGCATTTACATTCATAAATTTATATGTACTAATATATTTATACATACACAGACATAAACACCTATATTCACACATGTACATACACATTTTAGCTACGTTTTACTGTGAATAATAAATCATCTCTTTCATATAGAGCTCTGGTGTTTCTGTTAAAAAGCAGGCATCCTATATAATAAAAGAGAAACATGTAAATTGACCATCCCTTTGCTACACTCACCAGCCAATCAGGAGTGAATATGCAAATTAACCTAACAAAGATGGCAGATTAATTTGCATACACAGGTGCCAGGTGGAGAGCAGAGCAGGAGAGCCGGAGGCTTAGGGGGTTGTGGCAGAGTGGGAGGCTGTGGGACGGAGACAGAGCAGGAAGGGAAAACCTAGAGCACAGGGAGCACTAGGAATTCTGGGAATTATAGTTCTGGTGGCAGACAGATCTCCTACACACTAGAGCAAAGTGAGCCTGGAGCAAGTTACTGTTGCGGTGGGGGAATGGAGGGAAAGCAAAGGTGAGAGACATAAGTAAAATCAGAGTGTCTAGGAAAAATTAAAGGGAAGATATCCTAAACTTCCAGGAAATCCCCACCAATGAAGCAAAGAAAAAAAAATGCCTCTATTATTCTGTGAGCAACAAACCAAACTGTGTTGGGGGTCTCAGACAATTCGCTCATACGATTGCAAAGATAGACAGAAACTCCCAGATTGGAGAGGGCTCCCCTGAGGGCTCCCAGATTGGAGAGGGTGTGGAGAGGGCCCTGAGGGCTCCCAGATTGGAGAGGGTGCAGGTTGGGCTGAGGGACCCATCCCCATTGCACTAATCTTTGTGTACCAGGCGGCTAGTCTATATATATAAAAGCCTAAGCAATCATTATGATTGGATGACCAGAGGACCGGATGACCAGCTGGTAGCTATGATGCACACTGACCACCAAGGGCAGATGCTCAATACAGGAGCTGCCACCTGGTTGTCTGTGCTCTTCAACAGCCAATCTCCCACGGTCCCTCCCCCGGCTGGCTGGCCTCAATTGGCCCTGATTGCTGGCCAGGCTGAGGGACACCACCCATGCATGAATTCGTACACTGGGCCTCTATTTTATTACATAATGCAAAGAAAGTAGACAGAATACTAGTAGAATTTTGCTTTAGTTCCCCACATTCCAATTTCCCACAGACTGACACAGTGAAGGCCAGATGTCTACACATGTAGTAGGTTTCTACACAGAGTACAACCTCAAAATTTGGAGAATCAGATTTACATAGGGGTTGCTGTGGGCATATCTGTCCCTCTCCTCTCTGGATGTGTATAGAGAAAATCCTTTCTTTATTTCTATAATGTAAGCAAGTTCTCTATGGGGAGTGTAGGGCATGGTCCTTAGTTTTTTACAACCTGAAGGGTAAACAAATAGTTCCAGGTGGTAGGTGGGAGGATGTTTTCTATTTTTATTATAGCTTGTCAGTTTCCATTGCCAAGAATTTGTAGAACATTCAAGAACACCAACAAACACAAAATTTTTCTTCCACAATATTCCTTTCTTAGTGTTACATGGTTTTGGCCCCTGGCATATTTTCCCAAATACATGCCACTCTGTCTACAACTCATATTACTATAATTCACACTGTCTGGTACAACATGTATTCAGCTTGTCTTATAAAACTCTTCTTTAGTCACTAGTGTGATCCTGAATTTTCTTTTCAAATTTATTTCTTACAGTATTCCATCCTTGTGTAGCCTAAAGTTTTGTCTGAAACTGTGAAGCTTCTAAAATTTGAAGTTAGCCTGTCAGTTTTAGAAGATACTAGTGTCCTGTCCGGTACACGATTTGTGCACATTGAAAGGGAATTAATTAGAAGAAATATTTTAATATCACTATTCGACCTGTCTCTACAATAGAAGTGTCAACCAAATTTATGATTGGCAATGATAGATCAAAACACACACGTGCAATTGGCGCCAGCAAGAGCTTTCTATGTATTGTGCATGTGCAAGTCAACTTAGCTTTTTATGTATATAGAATAATCTTGCTTAATTAGACCTGCTTTCTGATGTACTAGGTGTAGCAGTTAATGTGGATTTTTTTCAATAGATGGAGTTACACATATGTTGATATATATGAGATTTGATATGTATGCTATTTTGTTGTATTCAAAATTTCATATGTCAAATTTTCTGAAGGTTTTAACATCATAGATATTTTTATGCTTAAAAATGTTGAATTTTGTGCCCCCAAAAAAGAGCATTTGCGGTAATTTTAATTCATTACTTTATTTTGAAGAAAAGTGCTGCTGAAAGTTATCATGTACTTCGGGAAGCTTATGGTGAACATGCTCCATTTTAAGATACTTGTGAATGCTGGTTTAAATGCTTTAAAAGTGATGATTTTGATGTGAAATATAAAGAACATCCAGGTCAACCAAAAAAGTTTGAAGACCAACAATTACAAGCATTATTGGATGAAGATGATGTCAAACTCAAAAACAACTTGCAGAAAGATTAAACGTTGCTCAGCAAACAATTTCTGATTGTTAACAAGCAATGGGAAAGATTTTTAAGGAAGGAAAATGGGTGCCACATCAACTGAACGAAAGACAAATGGAAAACCAAAAGTCCTCAGTAAAATGTTGCTTCAACGGCACAAAAGAAAGTCTTTTTGCATCGAATTATGACTGGCAATGAAAAGTGGATTTATTTTGAGAATCCTATATGCACAAAATCATGGATTGATCCAGGTCAATATTGACTGCAAGAACAAATTGCTTCAGAAAGAAGACAATGCTCTGCGTTTGGTGGGATCAGGAAGGTGTGGTGTATTATGAGCTTCTAAAATTAACCAGGTGAAACCATTAATACTGATCACTACTGACAACAAATAATCAATTTGAACCACGCTTTGATAGTGAAATGACCAGAATGTTCCAAAAGACACAGCAAAGTAATTTTGCTTAATGATGATGCACCATCACATACTTCAAAACCAGTTAAAGACACATTAAAAGATCTTGCCTGGGAAGTATTAACCCACCCACCACATTCACCAGACCTTGCTCCTTCAGATTACCACTTGTTCCCATCGATGGCACACGCACTTTCTGAGCAGTTATTGTGCTTTCTTTTATTACAAAATCTGCTGTATTAATGCGGATTAACTGTTAACTGGTTAATAATGCCAATTAATTATTAACTGGTTAATAATATGAATTAACTCTTAACTGGTTAATAATGCGGATTAACTGTTAACTGGTTAATAATGCAGTATTTATAATCCAAAGAAAACACGATAATTTAAAGAGAAACATCAAAAGTGCTTTATTCAAAGTAATGTCCATTGCTAGGTACACATTTCCTCCATCTTTAGGTAATTTGTGGATACCTTCTCAATAGAACTTTTCTTGTTTTGAGGAAAACCATTCAGAGACCCAATTTTCCACTTCTTCCTATGTTTTGAAGTGCTGCTCAGAAAGTGCGCATGCCATCAATGGGAACAAGTGGTAATCTGAAGGAGCAAGGTCTGGTGAATATGGTGGGTGGGTTAATACTTCCCAGGCAAGATCTTTTAATGTGTCTTTAACTGGTTTTGAAGTGTGTGATGGTGCATAGACTATTAGACCTGTTTCCTGATTTAGCTAAACTTTTTCCAGCTCAGTGAAGCACCCAAACTTCTGTTTCAGGTAATTGTCAGCAAAATAGCAGTAATATCAATATGAAGCAGATTGTTATTGTAGATCACACAGGGAGAACAAAGGGTAAAATATTTAACTGCAGCAGTGTTTGACTATATTCTGCACAGTGAGAAAACCTGAAGTCATTTTTAAGTTCCACCATTTCTTACTTCTTTTCAGTCGGGTCAAGTTTCTAAACTTTCTAAATCTTCATTTTCTGGCTAATAAAAAGAAAATAGGATTCCACTGAGTCTCCTATATACCTACTCCAGGACCTCTGTGAGGATCAAATGAGATGAGGCACGGGAAAACGCTTCCCAAACATTTCGTTAAAGTGTAAAATGTTTGCACCTGGCTATAAAGCAAGTTGTGTTCCTGGGCTGAAGAAACTCAAAGGAGGCTAGTTGCTAAGGAGAGGAAGCTGGGAGTTGCTATGTGACG